CGTCACTCTGCGAGATTCTGAACTACATTCCTCTTCATGAAAAGGGGTGGCAGCTTCTCGAGTGTATTAGGATGTTCTTCGAAGCGGTCTTCTTGTGCCACATAGAAAGCACTTGGCCTTCTGACAGTTTCACTTTGGTGTTTAAGAATGGCAGCTCTTGTTCAGGATTCCTAAGCAGTCAGTGTGATGTTGGCGTGCGCTGAGTTCAGCTTCATGAACTTACCAAACGACACGTGAATATGATAGCAAGAAGCGGTGCTATGCGGCTGCCCATTGCTAATACCTCTTGTTTGCATGTAAATGTTGTTGCGAAACCGGAACATATTGAATGCAACAACATTTACCAGAAGCTCTTCGACATCGTGAATGGACAATCCGTAAAGTTGACAACGATGTTGGTGTTGTCTTAAAGGTGAATGCACGCTTCAATTGCTATTCTCGTGTCTACGTTCGTATAAAGTGCAGACACATCGAAACTTTGGTAAGATATCCTTGAAACGTTTGGAATGGTCCTCTCGCGTAGGCAACGTAGGAAATGTTCCGCGTTCTTCAAATGAGCCGGTATGTATTTGAGCAATGGTGATACATGCTGAAGGAACCAACTTATAGCATCCGTTGGGCCTCCGCATGACGAAACGATCGGCCTGGTCTTGATGGCGCTGTTTTCGTTCGTGATACGTCCTTCAGAAGCTGTCAATTTGTCTTCTTCAATATTAATTAACCAGCTTTGCTCCGCCCGGTATCGCGCGTATCATACGACCTAAGATTCCGCAGGCACTCCAGGTATATTTATCACACATAGCTCTGTAAACACTCGGCCATTCTCCTGAATTTTGATAATTTAGCGGTGAATAGGGTTATGGTGTTAGCCTCACAATTAAATTGCAACATTATCATAAGTGAGCATCTAATGCTGATCCTTCATTCACAGTGTTCGCAAATCCTAAGCTTTGGCGGTCATTAAATGAGTTCTGGTCTTCTTGGTATTAGATCAAGAATGGAATGTACCATTCGCCAAGAGTCTGCTCAAGCCAAGCTGATTATATCGATAGAATGTCCACGACCCACCCCTAATAACACTTATGAAAAGAGCCCCATAGTGCCAACGTGAACTGCGCAATGGAATTGCCGACTTCTGCCTTCTAAGACTCCTTATCAGCCCCTATCAGTTGCTATCATTTTTGTCGCCCACCTACAATGTCCACGACGTCGCGCGGTGACTTCCCACAGGCCTAATCCTTAGGTCTTGCTTTACAGCCAAACCTCCGAAATGAATTCGATCCTACTGAATGGTTGTTCTCATACTGGTAGGATAGTGGTAGAGTGATAAGAGGGGCTAGAAAGCGAGCATCGCCAATTTCGTTTTGTCGTTCATATTGGTACTAGAGCGTCTATACTTACAAGTGTTATGTGGGGTGGTCCCGGGACATTGGTGGTACATGATGAAAGCGATAGCAACTGATAAGGGCTGATAAGGGCGTCAGAACGCAAAAGTCGTCGATTCCGTTACCTGGCTCGCGTTGACACCAGAGCAACCATACTTACAAGTGTTATGTGGGGTGGGACGGGGACATTGTTGGTGGGTGATTGAAAGTGATGATAAGGGCTGATAAGGCGCGTCAGAACGCAAAAGTCGTCGATTCCGTTACCTGCTCGCGTTGACACCAGAGCAACCATACTTACAAGTGTTATGTGGGGTGGGACGGGGACATTGTTGGTGGGTGCCAGAAAGTGATAACAATTGATAAGGGCTGAAGGGCGCGTCAGAACGCAAAGGTCGCCGTTCCATTGCGCAGCCTACGTTGACGCTAGAGTGTTCTTACTTACAAATGTTCTGTGGGGACATTGTTTCGATATTGAAGTTTAGCTTGAACAGGTTGGGCAATGATACATCCCATTCCTAACCTAATACCAATAGGGCCAGAAGTCATCAAACCGCTAAACTTTAGAATTTTCGAACAATGTGAATTCAAATCAAAGATAAGCGTTAGATCCTCACTTATTATTGGTGGGCATGTTTCATTTTTATTTTGAGGCTAACAGCATAACCCTATTCACCGCTAAATTATCAGAATTCAAGAAAAATGCGGGTGTTTTCAGGATTGTGATAAATATACCATCCAGATTCGCTATCACGCGCAGCCATGATGGACTTTGAATGAAACTGGAAACCTGTGAAACCTCGGGTCACTCGACTAACAAATCCAATAATGAGGTGCTTTGAGGAGTAAATCAACCGATGTTCCACAAGCCCTCCACCTTTCGCTGAGCCCTATGTAAGATGCGCGCGATAGCGGGCGGAGCAAAACTGGTGAGTATTAATTCAATGATACCAATCTTCACGAATTGTTACTATGTGGGAATGCACGCGTGTTTAGGAAGGAGTCGTGTCAAAGCTGTTGCTTTCAGCTTCTGATACAGAACTCTTCACCTTTACCACCTCTTCTAGTTTACTGCCTGCAACGGCTCGTTGTAGTTATGTTGTACGTTGAGGAATCAGACAATACTGCTTCAGTGAGAGCAATGTCTCGTTCTTGTGACATAACTACAAAACCTCCACATTTATCATTTATCGCCGACCGAAAATCTCAGTAATTTTTCAGCGTCAACACTTTTCGAAGACCACACCACACGAGTCATGCTATCTGGCGTTCTGAGTGTTTTGTGGTGATACATATACACGTAGAATGTTAGCCTGAAGTCCCACAGACTCCTCGAGAATGTAGGGTTATATGATGGAGTGCAACCTCGGGTGCGCGGAAATGACATGGCTTTTCTCAGGCTTTCTTGAAGTGAGGGGACGTGGCTCCTGTTTGCTCCTTCCAGCTGTGAGTGCAGCCAAATTTTTGAATTGCTGCCATGATATCCGTCCTGGTTTCTTCAGTAAACCTTGGTTTAGGTGCGAAGTTGTGACCAAGGTTCAAAAGACTGAGGATGTCTTCATCAATCTGATCACCATCGAGGATTACGCATCTCTTTGGAGGTGTCGAGTCTTTCAATATGAAACGCGAGCATGTCCCTGAGTTTTGATGTTCGAATTTATTCTCTAGGTAAATCCGTGTTTTAGTGAGAAGTGTACCACCTTTTTCTCTATGATGCATACACAGTTGATTCCAACACTCCGGACTGAATCTTCGATGCAACGCCGTTCTGAGATGTACAATCATCCGAACGCAAAAGTTTCGCTTCTGCTTCTGTTCGACCATTGTAGTGTCCAGTAAGCAGTCTTTTAGGTGTTTAATGCTTCTTCGTACTGCATCTTGACGGCAACGCGAGAAATGGTGAA